AACCATAACTCCATCTTGACTAATTACAGAGTTACTGCCCTTTGTTACTTTTCCTTGTCCAGAGCATGACTTGAAAACTACTGGTTGGAATTCAAAACAACTTCATACAATGGTCAAGCACAATAAGGGGAAGTGCAGTGCACAAGAACCATAACTCCATCTTGACTAATTACAGAGTTATTGCCCTTTGTTACTTTTCCATTGCTTTCTTTTGTCAGGACCATAACTTGAAGACTTATTGTTGGAATTCATTATAACTTCATACAATGGTCAAGCACATTGAGAGGAAGTGCAGTGCATAAGAACCATAACTCCATCTTGACTTATTACAGAGTTACTGCCCTTTGTTACTTTTCCTTGTCCAGAGCATGACTGGTTGGAATTCAAAACAACTTCATACAATGGTCAAGCACAATAAAGGGAAGTGCAGTGCACAAGAACCATAACTCCATCTTGACTAATTACAGAGTTATTGCCCTTTGTTACTTTTCCTTGTCCAGAGCATGACTTGAAAACTACTGTTTGGAATTCAGTACAACTTCATACAGTTGTCAAGGACATTCAAAGGAAGTGCAGTGCACAAGAGCCATAACTCCATTTAGACAAAATACAGAGTTACTGCCCTTTGATACTTTTCCTTGTCCGGAGCATAACTTAAAACGTACTGGTTGGAATTCAAAACAACTTCATACAATGGTTAAGCACAATAAGAGGAAGTGCAGTGCAAAAGAACTATAACTCTATCTTCAGTATTTATAGAGATATTGCCCTTGTTTCTTTTTCTTTGTCTTTCTGGACTTATTACAGAGTAATTCAATTAAACTTCATCAATGGCCAACCACATTGAAAGGAAATGCAACATACATGAACCACAATTATCTTTAATTGCCCACAACCATAACTCTATGTTTCAATTCTTTTACAAGGTATTCTGTTACTAGTAACATCCTCATTTTCGAGGCAGACTTGTGGGGGTATTAATCACATTAGTGATAGTTCTAGTTTTTTGTGGAGTAAGTGGTCTCTAGGGTCAAAGTTAAGGTCACTGGTTTAGAAATGAAATTTAAACATTTTTGCTCATACACCCTTTATTTTTTGGTTGATGTCTTTCATGTTTAATACAAACATGCCAAGGGAGGTCCTCCTTTGTTGGGTATAGTAAGGGGTCATTTGGGTCAAGGTCAATGTCACCAATGTCAAGGTCACCAATGTTAAAAATAGATTTTTACATGTTTACAGGTGTATTAACCTTATTCTATAGACAGATGTCATTTATAATTGATAGGAACATAAAATTTGATGGAGTTAGTGGTCAGTTCGGTCAAGGTCACCAGTGCTAAAAATAGATTTTTACACTTTTGCTCATACAGCCTTTATTTATTGACAGATATATTTCATATTTGGTAGGAAGATAACTTGCATGGTATTCATCCTTTTGATTGGGGTAGGGATCAGTGGGTCAAGGTCACTTGTGCTAAATATAGATTTTTACACTTTTGCCCATACAGGCTGTATTTATTGACAGGTGTATTTCATATTTGATAGGAAGATAACTTGCATGGTATTCTTCCTTTTGATTGAGTTAGGGATCAGTGTGTCAAGGTCACTAGTGCTAAAAATAGATTTTTACACTTTTGCCCATACAGCCTTTATTTATTAACAGATATATTTCATTTTTGGTAGGAAGATAACTTGCATGTTATTCTTACTTTGGATGGAGTTAGGGGTCAGTTGGGTCAAGGTCACAAGTGCTAAAAATAGATTTACACTTTTGCCCATAAAGCCTTTATTTATTGACAGATTTATTTTATATTTGGTTGGAAGATAACTTGCATGGTATTCTTCCTTTGGATGGAGTTAGGGGTCAGTTTGGTCAAGGTCATCAATGCTCACAATAGATTTTAACATTTTTGCCCATACAGCCTTTATTTATTGACAGGTGTATTTCATATTTGGTAGGAAGATAACTTGCATGATATTCTAGAGGTGTCAGTGGGTCAAGGTCAAGGGTGCCAAGTATAGATTTCTTACATTTATATATATTTGATAAAGTTGAATATTTATCACTTCACAAGTCATAGAAATGACTTGGCAACTTATATATTTCACAATTACAAAATGCCATGACTCTGTCAAGCTATATAACTTGTGTTTACAATTTTTGGCAATGTTTCTGTCCATAACTGAGTGAATGGGTAAACATTTTTTGAAATATTGCTACTGACAAGAATTGGAGCCGGGGGCATTTGTGTTTAACAAACACGTTCTTGTTTCTCCTATGATCCAGGCAAAAGCTGTTTATGTGGTATTTACCACATTTAATGATTGTTGTTGTATTTATTGTAAGTGAATCTGCAATAACAGATGTAGCTGTCATTAAAATCAGGATTGACAATACCATAGTTGTGTATAAAATGTTCTTTTCAATTATTTATTATAACAGGTAACAATGGACAAATTCAGTTATGGCAGTTCTTGTTGGAACTGCTAACAGACAAGGATTGTAGGGAAGTGATACAATGGGTTGGAGATGAGGGAGATTTTAAGTTGAATAATCCAGAAATGGTCGCTCAAATGTGGGGACAGAGAAAAAACAAGCCAACAATGAATTATGAAAAATTAAGCAGGGCTCTACGCTATTACTATGATGGGGATATGATAGCTAAGGTATGCCTTTGGGAAGTATATTGAGTGCTGACAAAATGAGCATTTGTGATTGCAATTTGTCTGACGTTTTACTTTAAACAACATCTCATAATCCGCTAAGCTAATTTGATCCAAACTACACAGGAATGTCCTTTGAAAATTGTATATGCAGAACTCTGGTTGCCATGGCAACAGGAAGAAAAATCTTTAAAAATCTTCTTTAAAAAAAAAAAAAGAAAGAGCTACAGCTTAGATATTTAGCATAAAACATCTTCTAGTGTGTTACCAAGTTTTTACAAATAAAATCTCTAGGGTCAAAATTAGCCCCACTCAAGGTGGTCATTGATTTTCCCTATATTTATGAAAACAAAAAAAATCTTCTAAAAGAGTCAGAACAGCTAGAGCTTAGATATTTTGAATGAAAGAATGTTCTAGTGAGTATCTACCAAGTTTGTTCAAGAAAAAACCCTGGGAACAAAATTGGCCCTGCATGGGGGTCAGGGGGTGTCATTGATTATCTAAATGAATTCTTCTTTTACTTTCCTATTGAGGCTTTAGCTTAGATATTTTGTATGAAACATTCTCTAGTGGATGTCTACCAATTTTGTTCAAATTATAGCAAAACCACCTTATGGGTCACTTAGTTTACATAGACATACAGTATAAAAGTTCAGCAGCATTATTTTGTAAATAAAGAACATGAGTATGATGTCTAAGCGCCCCTAAAGCGCCAGCATTGCATCTTTTTATCAACAAGCCTGTTTTTAGCTCATCTGTCACAAAGTGACAGGGTGAGCTTTTGTGATCCCTTTTCGTCTGGCGTCCGTCCGTCTGTAAACTTTTACTTTAAATGACATCTCCTCATAAACCAATAAGCCAATTTCATCCAAACTTCACAGGAATGTTCATTTGGTGGTCACTTTTAAAAATTGTTCAAAGAATTCAATTCCATGCAGAACTCTGGTTGCCATGGCAACCGAAAAAGAAAACTTTAAATATCTTCTTTTAAAAAACCCTAAGAGCTAGAGCTTAGATATTTGGCATGAAACATCTTCTAGTAAGTGCCTACCAAGTTTGTTCAAATAACAGCCCCGGGGTCAAAATTGGCCCCGCCCCAGGGGGTCATTGATTTTCCCTATATGCATATAGTAAAAACTTAAAAAATCTTCTTTTAAAGAACTCAAAGAGCTAGAGCTAAGATATTTAGCATGAAACATGTTCTATAATGCGTGTCTACCAAGTTTGTTCAAATAAAAGCCCTAGGGTCAAAATTGGCCCCGCCCCGGGGGTCATTGATTTTCCTTATATGTGTATAGCAAAAACTTAAAAAATCTTCTTTGAAAAAACCCAAATAGCTAGAGTTTAAATGTTAAGCATTAAACATCTTCTAGTAAGTGTCTACAAAGATTGTTCAAATAAAAGCCCTGGGGTCAAAACTTTAATATTATCTTCATAAAACTCGCCATCTTTTTAATTTACAAATAATAATTGGGGGGGGGGGGGGGGTCATAGGTTTTTCATATATGTATATACCGGTAGTAAAATCTTAAAAAATCTCTGAATTGACAAAGGTTAGAGGTGAGATATTTGTAATGAAACAATGTGTAGTGGACCTCTACCAAGATTGTTTAAATTATAGCCCTTTGGTAAAAATTGGCCCCACCCGGAGGTCATTTATTTTCATTGTGTATGTATAGTAAAAAAGTTAAAAAATCTCCTATGAAGGTACAAGGCTTAGAGTTTTAATATTTGGTATATAATATCATCTATAGGTCTTCTACAAAAGTTGTTCAAATTTTGCCCCTAGTGTCAAAATTGGCCCAGCCCCTGGGGGTCATAGGTTTTCCTTATGTTTATATAATATAGACTTAAAAATATACTTTTTGGAATTGACAAAGGCTAGAGGTTAGATATTTGGCATGAAACATTGAAACATCTCTACCAAGATTGTTCAAATTATAGCCCTTTGGTCAAAATTGGCACCACCCTGGGGGGGGTCATTGATTTTCATTATGTACATATAGTAAATGAAACAACTTACATTGGAATGTCTAATACATGTTATGCAATTATATGTAATATTCAAAAGCAGGGTATTAAGACTAAAGGTCAAGATTTTCAGAGATATTTACAGGGATAAAAACTAACCATTTAAGCTTGGTGGCCACCTGGGCCACTGACTGTAAAATTTTGTTGGCCCAGTAAATATATTAGTGGACCAACAATTTATGAACGGAAATGGGGCTAGCACTGGCAAAATTTTTTGCCAATTTTTTAGCAGCGAAAATTGCGTGCCTGTATTTTATTTTCAAAGGCAAAATGGTACGGCATGAGGTATTTAGAAAAACATAAACTATATTGTCCACTTTTATTTTGGTACCTACATTTTTTATCACATTAACACATCAAACTTATATAATTTACAGTCAATAATCATAAAAGCTTCCAGCTCAGTAGCTATAACATTTGCCTGGTTAAGTCAGTGGCATGACAGTAACAGCAGAAACACATTCCAATGTGCTGCTTCAGCTTGCTTGGTTAATGACAAAGATTTTTCTTGAAGACTATCTGTATCTGAAATAAAACAGAAGAAACAAGTTTGAAAGTAAGAAGAGTGAAGAAAATAATATTGAAAATTCTAAACTAAAGATAATTCAGGAATAAAATCACATGTACTACTGTCATTATAAGTGTACAGGAATCAGTATAAGTTACCTGAAGGCATTTTGTATGCTTCTTAACAGAATCTTTCTTTAATATTTCACAGTCATAAGCCATTTATAAATGAATACTTCAGCAAGAGCTTTAGGGGTTACAAAACTTAAATTTGATTTTAAGCCAAATCAAGGTCAATCTTTTTAGAGGGATGTTTCAAATATTAACTTTAGAGTGTCCTTCAGTCCGTCTGTCTGTCTGTTCATAAAAACTGTTTCCTGTGATCACTTTAAAAGAACTTTTCCAACAAATTTATTTAAAATAGAGAAAAATTGAAACATTAGTGAATGGCCAATGGCCCTTCAGAATGTTGATGGGGTTCTAACCGGTAGGGGACTTATGGATTGCTTGCAATACTATGATAATTGCTTGTTTTCCCAGGAATTCTCTGTAAAGCCAAATATCAAATAAATTCCTTGTAAAGGCATAATTAGGTCAGAATTAAATGGCAATCAAACCCCCCCCCCCCCCCCAAAAAAAAAATATATATAGAAATGAAAAAAAAACACAAAAATAAAAACAACCATTACTCTTAACTAATAATTTCTTTGATCTGTTTATCAACAACGATAAGATTTACTGAATGCAAACTTACCGTCAACAGGTCAAGTTGTCAACTGCAGAACATAATTTGTCGCTATTTCATACCCGAACTTCTGATTTGATTAGCGATAATCTTGAGTAATCTTGGGATGCCGCTACTTATTGTTTCATATTAAATATTAAGACCCAATTTTTCAATGCATATTCAACAATCTGCCAGGTATGTTCACGACAATTAGTGTCATATTTATCAGCTGATGTAAACAAACGGTGAGGGCCAGTGTATTAGACTGTGTTACTGTTCATATCGATATTTAGTTTAGAAGGGAAGTTGAAAATATAAACCAGTCAATGACCCACAAGAAGTAGACTGTGTCGCTGTGTTTTGAGATAAGACGCGGTAAAGCGCAAATTAAAAATGGAAAACCAAATGTGTACTTTTCCATTCTTAAAATAGCAAATGCTAAATTTAGACCGGAGATTCCAAAAGTCATACTTTTTGTAAGTTTGAGCCAATCGTGATTTTCTTGAGCCAATCTAATAATTTTGGAGCCAATTCGCTCATTTGCACCTTTGAATTTTCACGTGAGTTGATTTAATGGCGGATATTAATTTTATCTACGGCCGATTTTTTTAGTCGCCGACTGGACGATTATTTTCAGATTTTTGGTGGTCCAATTACAAATTAAGTCGCCGTGGGCGACTGGGCCTCCGCTAATTTTCATCCCTGATTTATGAAGTGATTCAGGTCATGAAGTCTAGCAAGACAGTTGTGAGTTTTGTTGGCGTCCGCGCAGATCGCGACGCCCTTTATGGAATAAAATCAGATTTTGTGAAAGGGCAATTGAAACTTCCTGGGCCTTTTCGTCGGTCATAATAGCCGATCATTCCGAGGGTGTTTGAAAAATGAAATGTCACGATATGTACAATGAAAAGCGAACTGGAGAATTTTGCAATGCAAACATATTCGAATGAAATTATCTTATCTGTGAATTAATCTTCGGGGTTTTAGGATCGTTGAATGTCCGTCCTCCGTCCACACTTGATCGTTAACACTCTAGCGGTCACATTTTTGCCTCAATCATCATCAAACTTTGTCAGGATGCTTATCTAGCTAATAGCTCGATTAGTTCGAAGATGGGTCATCTCGGATGAAAAACTAGGTCACAGGAGCTAAAAATAAAAAAACCTTGTTAACACTAGTGGTCACATTTTTAGCTCGACTTTTTTTTGAGCTCACCTGACCACAAAGTTGTCAAGGTGAGGTATAATAATGGGGCTATGTCCGGCGTCCGTCGTCGTGCGTTGTTCGTCGTCAACAATTGGGTTGTTGTTAACAGTCTAGTAGTCACAGTTTTGATTGGATCATTGTCAAACTTTGTCAGAATGTTTGTCTTAATGAAATACAGATCGAGTTCGAAGATGGGTCATCTCCGGTCAAAAAGTAGGTCATAGGAGCTAAAAATAGAAAAAGCTTGTTAACACTCTACTGGCTGCAGTTTCGATCCAAATATTCTGGAAATTTGTCAGGAAGGTTGTTTTCATGATTAGGTCAAGTTCGAAGATGGGTCATCTCTGGTCAAAAACTAGGTCACAGGAGCTAAAAATAGAAAAAGCTTGTTAACACTCTAGTGGCTGCAGTTTTGATCAAAACATTCTAGAAATTTGTCAGGAAGGTTATTTTAATGATTTCTACATGTAGGTCAAGTATGAAGATGGGTCATCTCCGGTCAAAAACTAGGTCACAGGAGCTAAAAATAGAAAAAGCTTGTTTACACTACTGGCTGCAGTTTTGATCCAAATATTCTGGAAATTTGTCAGGAAGGTTGTTTTGATGATTTCTAGGTCAAGTTCCAAGATGGGTCATCTCTGGTCAAATACTAGGTCACAGATGCTAAAAATAGAATTTTTTTTATAACACTGTAGTGGCTCAAGTTTTGCTCCAAATATTCAGGAAATTTGTAAGAAGGTTGTTTTGATAATTTCTAGATCAAGTTCGAAGATGGGTTATCACCGGTCAAAAACTAGGTCACAGGAGCTAAAAATAGAAAAAGGTTGTTAACACTCTACTGGCTGCAGTTTTGATCCAAATATTCTGGAAATTTGTCAGGAAGGTTGTTTTGATGATTTCTAGGTCAAGTTCGAAGATGGGTCATCTCTAGTCAAAAATTAGGTCACAGGAGCTAAAAATAGAAAAAGTTTGTTAACACTCTAGTGGCTGCAGTTTTGATCCAAATATTCTGGAAATTTGTCAGGAAGGTTGTTTTGATGATTTCTAGGTCAAGTTCGAAAATGGGTCATCTCTAGTCAAAAATTAGGTCACAGGAGCTAAAAATAGAAAAAGTTTGTTAACACTCTAGTGGCTGCAGTTTTGATCCAAATATCCTGGAAATTTGTCAGAAAGGTTGTTTTGATAATTTTTAGGTCAAGTTCCAAGATGGGTTGTCTCCGGTCAAAAACTAGGTCACAGGAGCTAAAAATAAATAAAGCTTGTTAACACTCTACTGGCTGCAGTTTTGATCCAAATATTCTGGAAATTTGTCAGGAAGGTTGTTTTGATGATTTCTAGGTCAAGTTCGAAGATGGGTCATCTCCGGTCAAAAACTAGGTCACAGAAGCTAAAAATAGAAAAAGCTTGTTAACACTACTGGCTGTAGTTTTGATCCAAATATTCTGGAAATTTGTCAGGAAGGTTGTTTTGATGATTTCTAGGTCAAGTTCGAAGATGGGTCATCTCTGGTCAAATACTAGGTAACAGAAGCTAAAAATAGAAAAATCTTTATAACACTCTAGTGGCTCCAGTTTTGAACCAAATATTCAGGAAATTTGTCAGAAAGGTTGTTTTGATGATTTCTAGGTCAAGTTTGAATATGGGTCGTCTCTATTGAAAAATTAGGTCGCATTGCCCAAATATGGAAACCCTTTTTAACACACTAGAGGTCACATTTTTGACTCGATTGTCATCAAACTTGGCCAGGATGCTTGTCTAACATATTGCTTGGATGAGGTTGATGTGTCAGGGGAGCGATCCAGGGCCATCATGGCCCTCTTGTTTAAAAAAGTAGAGGTATTGTTATAGTCCTGGCGGCGTTGCCGTCTGCAAACTTGTACCTGGATCATAACTTTTTAGCTCACAAGAGCAGAAAGCTCAGGGTCAAAGGGGGATGCCCCGGCGTCCATCGGCTGTCGTCATGCGTCAACAATCGTCTTCTTCTCTGAAACTACTAAGCAGATTTACTTCAAATTTGGTCTGTAGCATCCTTGTGACAGTCACACTTGAATTTGCTCATGTCATTCCAATTTGCCCCTTTTAGGGGTCAGCAGAGCTAAAAATAGAAAAACCTTTAAACATCTTCTTCTACAGAACTAATTGATGGACAATCACCAAACTTTGTCTGTAGCATTCTTGGGTAGTCTTTTATCAAATTTTCTCATACATGTATTAATTTCATTGGCCCCTTTTAGGGGTCTCTAGGGCTAAACATAGAAAAACCTTTAAACATCCTCTTCTACAGAACTAATGGATGGATGATCACCAAACTTTGTCTGTAGCATTCTTGGGTAGTCTTTTATCAAGTTTGCTCATATTTATTTGATTGGCCCCTTTTAGGGGCCGCTAAAGCTAAAAATAAAAATACCGTTAAATGTCTATTTCTAGAGAACTTATTGATGGATGATCACCAAACTTTGTCTGTAGCATTCGTGGGTAGTCTTTTATCAAGTTTGCTAATATTATTTTAATTGGCCCCTTTTAGGGGTCTCTAGGGCTAAAAATAAAAAAACCTTTAAACATCTTCTCCTACAGAACTAATGGATGGATGATCACCAAACTTTGTCATTAGCATTCTCGGGTAGAGTTTTATCAAGTTTGCTCATATTAATTTGATTAGCTCCTTTTAGGGGCCACTAAAGCTAAAAATAGAAAAACCTTAAATTGTCTATTTCTACAGAACTAATGGATGGATGATCACCAAACTTTGTCTGTAGCATTCTTGGGTAGTCTTTTATCAAGTTTGCTAATATTAGTTTGATTAGCCCCTTTTAGGGGTCTCTATATCTAAAAATAGAAAAACCTTTAGATATCTTCTTCTACAGAACTAATAGATGGATGATCACCAAACTTTGTCTGTAGCATTCTTGGGTAGTCTTTTATCAAGTTTGCTCATATTATTTTGATTGGCCCCTTTTTAGGGGCCGCTAAAATTAAAAATAGATATACGTTTAAACGTCTATGGCTACAGAACTAATGGATGGATGATCACCAAACTTTGTCTGTAGCATTTTTGGGTAGTCTTTTATCAAGTTTGCTCACATTAATTTGATTAGCCCCCTTGAGGGGCCACTTAAGCTAAAAATAGAAAAATCTTTAAATATCTTCTACTACAGAACTAATTGATGGATGATCACTAAACTTTGTCTGTAGCATTCTTAGGTAGTCTTTTATCAAGTTTGCTCATATTAATTTGATTATCCCCTTTTAGGGGCCGCTTAAATTAAAAATAGAAATATGTTTAAATATCTTCTCCTACAGATCTTATTAATGGATGATCACCAAACTTTGTCTGTAGCATTTTTGGGTAGTCTTTGCTCACATTAATTTGATTGGCCCCTTTAAGGGGACGCTAAAGCTAAAAATAGAAAAACCTGGTCAGTAGACCACACTAACCTTGACCTTCATCCATAAATGACCTTAACCTTCAAGGTCAAATGTCCAAATTCTGCTTGTTCTTGCTATTATTGGCTGTAACTGTTATTTTTGAATGGATTGTCTTCAAACTTGAACATAATAATCTTCAAAGATAGCCCTTAAAAATAAGCAGACAGACCATGACCTTCACTTATAAATTGCTTTATCGATTTCCCCATGTAAGCGAGAATCTTGACTTGCATGATATCAATGGAAGCGAGAATCATCAACTTTACTTTTACCTTTCCAAAAATGGCTAATTTAATACGAAAATTAGTCTGTAAAGTGTGTTATCGTAATGATTAATCATTCATGAGGGCATTCCATGCATAATATTAGGGTGAATCATTCATGAGGGCATTCCATGCATAAAATTAGGGTGTTACTATTTAAAGTATTTACATAAATAGCGACCAACCAAGCTAAGGTTTTTCCTTACGTCACGCATTTACGGCATGCGCACGGCAATTAACTTATTATAGAACGTATCAAATTGAGGCATGGAAACTGAATTAAAAATACTGTATGTTCACTTGTTTTCCACGTGATAGATTTAATGTGCTTTAGGGTACATGTTTGTTTGTTTTGATTTATGACTGCTGACACAGATTAATAACTTAGCCCCTGCAATAAAATATTTCTGGTAGCAGCGGGGATTCTGTCATAAAATTTACCGACAAATAAATATTTGTAAGTTGACATCCTTTCTTGTGCATTATTGTTTATATAGCAGACACAGCATGGTGTCAAGTATTGCAAGATCATAATCGCAACAAATGTCTTTGAAATACCGCCTTGTTGTATGAAAATTAATCATAATTATACCCCCCCCCCCACAACCAAGTCCGACCGTCCGTCAGTTTGTCCTTGTCCGCCCAATAACTTAGGATTCCCTTGACCCACAGTCTTCATATTTGGCATGGAGGTTAGTCATGATTAGTAGATGACCCTAATTGATTTTGAGGTCACTGGGTCAAAGGTCACAGGGGCCTTTAGAAAAAAAAACAAAGCTTGTCCGCCCAATAACTTAAGATTCCTTTGACCCACAGTCTTCATATTTGACATGGATATTAGTCATGATTAGTAGATGACCCCTATTGATTTTGTGGTTACTGGGTCAAAGGTCAAGGTCACAGGGGCCTTGAGAAAAAAAAAGCTTGTCCGCCCAATAACTTAAGATTCCTTTGACCCACAGTCTTCATATTTGACATGGAGATTAGTCATGATTAGTAGATGACCCCTATTGATTTTGTGGTTACTGGGTCAAAGGTCAAGGTCACAGGGGCCTTGACTTAAAAAAGGTTTTCCGCCCAATAACTTATGATTCCTTTGACCGACAGTCTTCATATTTGGCATGGAGGTCAGTCACGATTAGTAGATGACCCTATTGATTTTGGGGTCAAAGGTCAGTCACAGGGGCCTTGACTAAAAAAAGCTTGACCGCCCAATAACTTGAGATTCCTTTGACCCACAGTCTTCATATTTGGCATGGAAGTTAGTCATGATTAGTAGATGGCCCCTCTTGATTTTGAGGTCACTGGGTCAAATGTCAAGGTCACAGGGACCTTGAGTAAAATAAGCTTATCTGCCCAATAACTTGAGATTCCTTTGACCCACAATCTTCATATATGGCATGGAGGTTAGTCATGATTAGTAGATGACCCTTATTGATTTTGAGGTCACTGGGGCAAAGGTCAAGGTCACAGGGGCCTTGAGTAAAATAAGCTTATCCGCCCAATAACTTGAGATTCCTTTGACCCACAATCTTCATATTTGGCATGGAGGTTAGTCATGATTAGTAGATGACCCCTATTGATTTTGAGGTCAAAGGTCAAGGTCACAGTGGCCTTGACTTCAACAAGTTAGTCCGCCCAATAAATTAAGATTCCTTTGAGCCACAGTCTCCATTTTTGGCATGTAGGTTGATCCTGACCATTAGGTGACCTCTATTGATTTTGAGGTCACTGGGTCAAAGGTCAAGGTCACAGGGGCCTTGAGTAAAACAGCTTTTCTGCTTAATTGTCAAAAGTCAAGTCACAGGGATTTTTACTATAATAAGCTTGTCTGCTCAAATGTTTAAGAATGCCTGTCTGCAGTGTATTGATTTTGACATTTTCACATTTGAAGCATGTAGAATACATAACTTAGCAATGCACTGGCTTAGTAACTCAGATTTGGCAGGGTGGTTGTCCTTGAGCTCTGAATGGCCACTTGATTCTGACAAAGTGGTATGCAGGGGGTATTCATGCCATGACAGTGGCAGTTCTAGTTTTTTCAGGTCGTTTGTTAATATCTAAGTATAATTAGTTTACTGACATTGCTAATTTGACCGCTTGATTTGCAGGGTCATTGACATTGACTGAGGTTTATTGACATGATGGGACTGAAAATATTTTTTCCAGATAAATGTACCAATTGATGTAGGTCTTGACCACTAATATTTGTGCAAAATTTCAGATCATTTGAGCTCCTCGTTTTTCCAGAATAATTATTCAAATTGTAAAAAAATGACCCAAAATGAAAAGCATGGCTGGCCCTGAAAAGTCCCTAAATTACCACTCTCTGATCCAAAATTACTATTTTGAAGGCCCTAAATGTAGTTTGTAAACTATTTAGTTGGTTAATAATCTAAATGATTTACAATGCAATTGAGAAACAAAATAAATATCCTTTAATAACATATAATTCCGTATTTTGGGTGAATTGACACGGGGACAAATTGACTAGGGCACAAACACTTATTCTGAATTATCTGATTTTTTAAGGAAAAAGTCTGAGGCATCCGAATAAATGAACAAAGAACTACAAATCAGGTGCTTGTTAATGTCATGAAAATTAAGCCCTAAATTTAGTTAAAAAGGCCCTGAAAAAGCCCTAAATTTATGTTTGAGAAGTCTGTATGAACCATGTTAATGAAAAATGGTAGGAAATTTTCGTAACAGTTTTCTCAGCAACTACTCATCACAGCCTCTTGATGATTGGCTTACAGCACTGACCCGTGGTCTCATACCTTGGGATTTGATTTCAGATCTGTCACTCATCCACTTCCTGTTTGCAGACTTAGTTAAATTTTCAACATTAATGGTCAATGGTAGGAAATTTTCGTAATTTTCGACGGTAGAAATTTTTGTAACAGTTTCCTCAGCAACTACTTATCACAGCCTGCTTACAGCATTGACACATAGTCCCATACCGTGGGATTAGATTTCAGTTCTGTCACTCATCCACTTCCTGTTTACCAACCTAGTTAAATTTTCCACATTAATGGTCAATGGTAGAAATTTTTGTAACAGTTTTCTCAGCAAATTCTTATCACAGCCTCTTGATAATTGGCATACAGCATTGACATGTGGTCCCATACTGTGGGATTTGATTTCAGGTCTGTCACTCGTTAACTTCCTTTTACCGACCTAGTTAAATTTTCAACATTAATGGTCAATGGTAGGAAATTTATGTAACAGTTTTCTCAGCAACTACTTATCACAGCCTCTTGATATTTGGCATACAGCATTGACATGTAGTCCCATACTGTGGGATCCGATTTCAGGTCTGTCACTCATCCACTTCCTGTTTACAGACTTAGTTAAATTTTCAACATAAATGGTCAATTTTCGTAACAGTTTTCTCAGCAACTACTTATCACAGCCTCTTGGTAATAGGCTTACAGCATTGACAGTGAGACAGTAAATTAAATTAAATGCTGCATCATGGTCCCATACCGTGGGATTCAATTTCAGATTTGTCTTTCTTCCACTTCCTGTTTACTGACTTAGTTAAATTTTGGCATTAATAGTCAATGGTAGGAAATTTTCGTAACAGTTTTCTCAGCAACTACTTATCACAGATTCTGTTATTTGGCATACAGCATTGACACATGGTCCCATACTGTGGGATTCGATTTCAGGTCTGTCACTTGTCCACTACCTATTTACCAACTTAGTTATTTTTTTTACATTTACGGTCAATGGTAGGAAATTTTTGTAACAGTTTTCTCAGCAACTACTTATCACAGCCTCTTGATGATTGGCTAACATCATTGACACATGGTCTCATACCTTGGGATTCGATTTCAGGTCTGTCACTCATCCATTTCCTGTTTACAGAATTAGTTAAATTTTCAACATTAATGGTCAATGGTAGGAAATTTTCGTAACAGTTTTCTCAGCAACTACTTATCACAGCCTCTGATTTTTGGCATACAGCATTGACACATGTTACCATCCAGTTTGGAGAATGTTATCATTTTACATGTATCTGCTTTTCATTCATAGCTAACAATATTAATTGTTCCTTGTCATTTAGAGCCTTAATAATCAGATTACCGATATTAAGGCTATCATGGCCCTCTTATTTTTTAGGAACTGATTCTAACTTGTACAAAACAAAACTTACTGCCATTTTTGCCATCCTTTAGGAATCTTGTTTTTCTCTCTTTCATAATAATCAGTAGATGACCACTATTTATTCTGATGTCTTTTCATAAAAGGTCAAGATTACCATGAGGTTGATCAGACCCATAGCTATAAAATGCTTTGACCAGGAAATTTGGCCTACACTAGTAGAAAATTTGGCCTTCATCAGAAAAATCTGAAAATATTTAGGAAATGATACGTAAATAGTAATTGTGAATTCAATTCACAGGACAGAAGGTCTTCTTATCTTGAAAAGTTTACAGGACCTTATTTAAGTTGACATTTAATTGCAGATAATATATCATTCTGTTCTCAGGTGAGCACAGAAATAACCATTTGAGCCATCATCATTCTTCACAACCAAAGGTCTTTTTTATGTCCCCACAAAGTGGGGGGCATATAGCGTTGCACTTGTCCGTCCGTCCGTACGTCTGTCCGTCCGTCCCGAAATCTTGTGAACGCAACTCCTCTTAAACCCGATGGCAGATTTTGCTTAAACTTACAGGGATGAATAACCTTAATGTGTAGATGGTACTAAAGGAAGGAATTTTCGCTGCGACCAAATTTAACAGAATTATGGCCCTTTATTGATTTTTTCACTATATACTATGTAAAAATTTTGTGAACGCAACTCCTCTTAAACCGGAGGGCAGATTTTGCTTAAACTTCTAGGGATGAACAACCTTAATGTGTAGATGGTAGTAAAGGAAGAAATTTTTGCTGCAACCAAATTTAACAGAATTATGGCACTTTGTTGATTTTTTCACTATATACCATATATATGTTGTCAGTGGGGCATCCGTGTCCTTTGGACACAGTTCTAGTTTAAAATGAAATTCTGATATCCAACATATACTTTTGCAATAGCAGTTGATGGCCATGTGAACATGGTTCTTGTTATTTTTTATGCAACTTACTATCCCTATTAAAGTTGTCATGGAAATGTGCATAGTATAGTGTCAAATGTCAAAGTGTATTCAAGCATTGAAAAATTCTATTAATTGAGTTATATTTCAGGTTCATGGGAAGAGGTTTGTGTACAAGTTTGTGTGTGATCTGAAAATGTTACTAGGATATTCCGCAGCAGAACTTAATAGACAAGTAACGATGTGTGCAGAGAAAAAGTTGCAGAGAGTTCGGGAAGCATTAAGGCCACCTCCCACAGGCATACAACAAAACCTTACAAAACAGAAACTTATATCTTCACACACTGTACAGACCACCTTAGATTGACAGTGTCACTGTGTTGATGTTAAAGTACTTGTCAGCCTCCTGTATGAGATTTCTGCATGATACAATTTTATGTGCCTATTAAAGACTTGCTTGTTCACTCTGTGTATTACAATGTTCACATGTGCATTTGATATATGATCTAAGCAGGAGAATAATATTGTTTGGTAACATATTGTTGAGTGTTTAAACATTTTTGTGTCGCCTCTACTGAGTAGTGGCGACATATAGGGATCACTTCTCCGTTGTCTGTCTGTCCGTCCGTCACAAAACTTGTCCGGACTACTCCTCATAGTCTAGTTGTGCATATTGTCAGCATTTTCCGGTTTAATGATTTTTGTCAGAGTTATGGCCCTTTAATAATTTTTATTTTTAAAGTTTGTCCGGACTACTTCTCTTATACCACTAATGCAATGAAACTTTACAGGATTGATCTGTAGCTCAAGTCCTTGCGCATATTGCATGGGTTTCCCGGTTGAATGATTTTTGGCCGAGTTATGGCCCTTTGATAAAAAGGTGTTTTTTCTGTGTGTTGCCAGATACACAAAAGCTTGTCCGGACTACTCCTCATAAACTACTGGTGCAATTTTATCCAAACTTTACAGGAATGATCAGTACCAAATCTAGTTGTGCACTGTCCGTCTGTCACAAAACTTGTCCCAACATGAAATTGGCCATCATGAGGCGACATATGTGATCACTGATCACTCTTGTTTATAAATTTGCATGTGTTTATCATGTAATAAAGAATATGTTAATCTGCTCAACACATCAGTTCAGTTTTAAAAGATGACCTTATTACTGTTCATATAAAATTAAAAAAAAATAAGCCTCTAAAAAGAGTAATAGTGGTATAATTGTGAAGTCAGATAGGTTTCAATTTTTTGCTCTTTAGATCTTAAGAAAACAGGAGAGTAATAGAGCACATTTTGTTTGTTTACTGCATTTTATGCTGATTTTAAGACATGTATAGCTCACCTGATCACAAAATGATCATTTGTGAGCTTTTGTGATAGAAGTTTTATATTTGTACAAAAAGCTCCTCCACTTAGTGGATATTGTCCAAACTTCACAGGAGTGAGCCTTTAGTGCTCTTCTACAAAAATATAAATAGTTCAAGTCTGAAGCATAAGTAGGTCACAGGCACTAAAAATAAATTCAAAAAATCTTTTTCTCGAAAATTAGAATGCCAAGAGATAGCTACATTGTTGTCCTGTACAAGTTATATATATCATCCCCTTAGGGTCAGATTGGTCCTGCCACTAGGGTTACTTAGTTAATAAAGATTTATATACGAAAATATTTAAGTCTTTTGTAAAACCTAATACCAAGAGCTTAGATATTTGGCATGTAGCATTGCCTAGAAGACAACAAAAGTTATTTTTATCATACCCCTGGGGTCAAAATTGGTAATGCTAATACAAGTGTTGACAATTTAAGTTTGATATTTGAATCAGTTACAAAACAACATCAGTTATTTTTTTCATCAATTTAAAACTATTTTGTTTTATTTCATATTCATCTGATTTTAGAAATGGTAAAAAAGAACCACAGTTTTGAAATGGTAACAAAAATCCAAAGAAATGAATGCCTGATATATATTTTTGGTATATTGAAACCCCATCAGATATTGTAATCTTTCATTGGGTCATCGCTATATCTTTAATGATATTTAGCTTCATACAATTCTAAATAGTTGTGCAAAAAATAGATTTACCATCCAGTTTGGAGAATGTAATCATTTTTAAGTTATTAAGTTGCCCCACCATGTAAAATAGAACATTCTTCAGGGAGGAGATTCTACATGGCAGGTCATTGTAGATTAAGTGTTTCTTTCCATGAGGCATATTTTACATTTGGTTTTTACACACATCATTTCCATGGTGTCATAGTGGACATATTGGGCAATAATCTTTTTGCAGTTATCATTGAACGATGTTCTATAGTATTAAAATTTTTGTCAAATTGATTCTCAAGTTTTACCAGGTATTTATATGAATCAGCTCAGATTTTAACAGCATATTTTGAGAACAAATAAATGGAATATAAGTGCTGTATATTGAATATAATACATTATCTTACATTAAAATATAATACATGAATAAGTTCTCTTCTTCTTCTGATTAAGAATTGTTACAAAACTACCCTTTTTAGTTTGATGTATGTGAGGAAGTATATGGAGAATCCAGATTTTAGATTAGAAGTTTTCACTTATACCAAAAAAAAAATTAGATTTTTAGCTAGCCTATTTTATGCCACCGCAGCATCTGCGATGTGGTGACATATAGTGATTCCGTGCATGTGTGTGTGTGCGTGCATGCATTTGTGTGGAGGAGCGATTGAGGACATTTGTCAGGAATAACAGCAATGATTGAGGACATGACCGACAAATGAGCCAATCCTCAATTGCCAAAGATGTTTAGTACTACTTTATGCTTATTTTTTACTAAAACCTGTAAAACAAAAATTTATAACAGAGTTACCAATGTCCCCTGCCTTAGGGAAGTATTATTTGAAGCATAAAATTATGCTATTTCAAAAGATTGAGGTATGGATCAGGACTTTTAGTCCAAAATTTTGATCAATGCTAGATCTGCAAATGCAACAATAAATTTATTTAATAATGAAATGAAATAACACGTAACACATCCTGTGAACAACATATAGATAATTCAAAAACCGGTCAAAATAGAGTTATGGTTCTTTTACACTGCACTCCCACTCAATGCCCTCTACCACTGTATGAAGTTTGAACAAATTATCTCCAAAGGTTTTCAAGTTATGCTCCGGACAAGACAACGGACGGACAGACGGACCAACATTTTGGATTTAGGGGCTATTTTCTTTGTTATTTTCTAAATAAGAGTTCTATCTATTTGTAAGTATCTTTATTCAACTGTATTACACAATGATCAAGATCTGAAAATGATAAGAACAGAAATTATAATAAACTGATGAACTATAATAAACTGATAAACTATGACAATTATCCTATATCTCCCCCCCCCCCGCCAAGTCTTTTGGCAGGCAGTATCTATTTAGTTTATGGACATAATGAAAAAGACTGATATTTAACTTGACAGTAAAGAAACACATGATAATATTAATAACCAATGATTTATCATTGTCTTATAGAATATTGACTGTTGAAAGTCTTCATTTATTCACTTTATACACTGATTGTAGAGTTCATGGTGTGTGCATTTATTCGCAAACAAAGTCTTTTTGCCATTCTGGGGCATGCCTAATGCGGCTGGACCGTCGTGGCGGGATGGAAGTAGACTCAACTGTTGGCGATGGAACAACCATTGCTTTAGCACAAGGTGGACCTGTGGCAAAATCTGGCGGTGAGATGGCATCTTGAGTTCTTGGTTCAGAGTATGTGAGCTGACGACATGGGCTTTGTACCTGTGCAAGTAGGTGTCTCGTGTGAGGCTTCCATGGCAGACAGGCATGCAGGCCCGCTGACTGTTTCGGCACTGTGACTGTTTTCATCGGAGTTGTTAATCCAGGCTTCACTGTTGTGTCCGTAGTAACATAAGGGGAAGTGACAGGCTTCAGCAAAGAAAACGA